TCTTCTTCTACCTCGGCATCCCACAAAAACCTAGCGAAAGCCGCATGCACATGACTGCATCATCAATAGTAAAGTTAATGCAACAAATTTTACAGAGAATTGAAGCAAACACAGAACAACTTGTACCAGTCATTGGGGGAAGCTTTTGTAGCTTGCTCGAAATAAGCTTTAGCTCGAGCAGCATCCTTATGATTACTCCATATCAATTCTGCATACAATGACAAACTATCCCCATTTCCATTCACCAGAATTGCTCTCTCGCAGTACTCCTCAGCCTTTAAAAGATCACCTTGAACCTAATTGAAATCGAAATTGAAAACCCCACCTTCAAAATCTATAGAACCCACATGAAAAAAGGGGAAAAAAAAGATCATAAAGTTCGAATTTTTTTACCTCTTTCAAGTATTTAGCATAATTGGCAAGGAGGACGCAGTCTCTGGGATACGTTTCTATCATCATCTGGTAATATTCCTCCAGACTGTCCTTGACTCGTCCCCAATCTCCACACCCATCTCCGCCCGTACTAAACCCCCCGCTGCCAACATCCCCGCCGCCACCGGAGGTTGGTTCCTTTGTGGTCGCAAACACCCCCATCCCATCTTCTTTAATCCCAACCGGAGACCCCATAGGACTCGTACAGAAATTCTTCCTTCCGGGTATGATGAGCAGCTTCAGGTTACCGTCGGATGCCGTTCTTTCGATTTTCTTGATCGGCGAGGCCGTCATGGAAACGGGTCGATTTAGAAAGAGGCTACCGGCACCATCGAACCCGGTCAGCGATTGTGGGTACTTTAGGATCGGAGTGGAAGCACTTCGCAGAAGCATTGTTCAAACGTTTCTGTTTCTGTTCCTTTTAAGATTTGGTCGTTTGTTTCCCCAGAAACCTTCAACAGATTGGGTTTACAGGCGGAACATATTGGAAAATTTCAGAAATACTGACGAGGTTAAGACAAACAGGGAAACAGAAAACCTTACTCCCATCAAAATTGTAAAGATTTTTTGTTCCGGACAGAGCTTTGCGGCGGAGATTGTAAAAATAAGAAACCAAATCAAGTATGCAATTGTAGAATTAAACGGTGCGACCTGCAAACTCTTCGGTGCGCCGTTAAAAATGTATTTGGAGAAAACGAATCTGGGCCGTTGGATTGAAAGGGCACAGTAATTGACACGTGATTTTAGCATCCATGCCGAAGCCCATGTAGGCCCCCGGCTATAAAAATATCCCCGGTTGACTCTTTGACTCTTTTTTTTTTTTTTCGGTTCTCGCTCGGTATCCGAGGCTTCGTCTCGATTAATCCGGGCCCAACCCGCATCGCGCACTGGAAATGGTGGGTGAGTCTCCCAGCGGAAGCTGCTGCGTACACAAGATCTCGAACTCGAGATCTTGTTTAAGTTGAAACAAGCCGCTTACCACTTGATTGAACAACCTCTTTTACCTTTTTCTGCTCTGTAGAAAACAGAGCCGTCGATCCTCATCTAGATTGTTTCGATGGCCCGGCCTTGACCACCATTTTTTCTTCCTACAGACATCAAGAAAAGAAACTCCGAATTTTTATTTTTTAAAAAATATTAACTTATTTTAAAAGTTATCAACACCTAAATAATTTGTTGAAATTTTTTTTATTAAAAATAAAATATATTAAATTTGAATCAAATGACATATAAATAAAGTGGAGTAAAAAATGAATAAAGTTGGTGTAATCAATATAAAAAAAAAAAAAATTATTCTAAAAGGCCAGACCCAATTTTGCATCCATTAGGAGAAGAATCTGCAGATCAGCCAAATATCTCCAGTGTTGTTTCTGAGTTTAAGTTTATTTTAAATTAATTTTTTTAATAAATAAATATTTTTATTTTTATTTTATTATTACTCATTAATATTCATAGAGTACAACTCAGGTTATATTTTTAAATTTTAGTTTGAGTACTAAAATTATTAAATTATTTTAAATAAAATTGTAGTCTAATTTACAATATTTTTTTATAATATATTTATTTTAATTAATTATTTTTTCACAGAAAGTTTATCTTTATTTTTTAATATTTTTAAAAAATAATATATAAATACATAAATTATCTTTAAACTTTAATTTTAAAATGTTAAAAAATAAAAGTTATTTAAGCACAGAGAGAATGCTTTTGAAGAAAAAAATTGAGAAGAGGATGTAAAATCCGAAAAGATGATTTGGTTTAATTGTCAAAGAGACACGAATTTTGAAGGAAGTGTGTTGATGAGGATGGGTTGTTAATATTATTAAGACATTATATTAACGATTTATTGGTTTAAGTGAAATGAGTTTGATTCCTCTTAAATAAAGTTTTGAGTTTGAATTTTATGAATGAAAAAACAAGTACTGAGAGAGTTTCTCCTCAAATGGAGTCCGATGCGGCTCGATTTTAAAATTATTCAAGATCCAATGTGATTACCAAGCAACGAGCGACAGGTTAGTAAAAAATAAAAAGACTTAGTGACTACTGATTGATACAGATTAACAAGGAAAAAACTTATTTTTAACCTCTCAACTTACCAAGTTTGAAAGTTTTAGCTCCTTACCTTAAATTATGATATTTTTGACTCCTCACCTTACTAGATTTATAAGTTTTAGTTCCTTACCTATTAAAATCAAAGAAAATAGCCCTCACTTTATACTGACGGTTAAATCTGTTAACTAAAAATAGATTTTTATCAACTAACAGTCAACTAATAGCTAATTAACAAAATTAACAAAATATTATAAAATTAGTTCTATTAACTCTATTAGTTGAAAGAAGATTTTAACAGCTAACAGTCAACTAACAATTGGCTAACAGAACTAACAAAATGTTACAAAATAAGAGTTATTTTCTTCAATTTTAATAGGTGAGGAACTAAAAGTGTCATAATATAAGATGATAGATTAAAACCTACAAATTTAGTAAGGTGAGAGGCTAAAAATGTCATAATATAAGGTTAAAGGCTAAAACCTTCAAATTTAACAAGTGAGAGCTTAAAAATAGATTTTTACCGATTAACAAACATTATCCAAGCCTAGGAGTTATCCATAAAAAGAAATAAGAAAACTAATACTCCACAAGTGGATATTTAAGAAAGAAAACGTCATGTTATTAAGAAAACAAATTTGAAAATTTTAAATTAATAACAGCTTAGCAGACATTGAACAATAATGATAGAATATTTGGGTGTGGTTATGGGTACTGAACATTTTGTTAAGGTGACATTAATTGTGTTTAATTTGATTGATTTTAAACAATTAACTATGATATTTAAAAATATTAATTATAAACTAATTTTAATTTATTTTATAAATTATTAGATGTCTTTAACAATTAAATTAAAAATATCAATATTTTTTTAATAATATTATGTGATCTTAACAAATTTATGAGTAATCATGACCAAACCCAAAATAATAATTTA